AGATATCCTTTTGAAATACAAGATGAAAAGAGTGGAGTTTTTTTAAATTTTTATTTTACGAGTGTATTGCCTGCATGTATGTGAGTGCACCCGTGTCATGCAATGCTGCAGAGGTCAGAAGAGGGCTTTGGATTCCCCTGGAACTGGAATTAAGGACCGTTTGTAGCCACCATGTGGGTGCTGGGAATCGAACCCAGGCCCTCTGCAAGAGCAGTCAGTGCTCTTAACCGCTGAGCCACCTCTCCAGCCCCAAAGAGTGGTTTTTTAAAAAGATTTTTTTGTTTTCTATGTATGAGTGTTTGACTGCATGTATGTATGTGCACTCTGTGTATCAGAAGGAACTGGAATTACTGACTGCTGTTAGCCACCATGTGGGTGCTGGGAACTGAACCCAAGACCTCTGCAACAACAGCTGCTCTTAACCTCTGAGCCATCTCTCCAGCTCAAGAATATGTTTTGCAACAAAGAAAAATATGCAAAAAGGACAGAAATAGAGCTGATAGTAAAAATCTAACTACCTATCTGTGCCTATATCTTTAGTGTCAACATGACACACCTGGGTTGAGGGAGCCTCAATTGGGGAATTGCCTCTGTTGGACTGGCCTGTGACCATATCTGTGGGGGAATTTTCTTGATTGTTGAGTGATGTGGGAGGGCCCAAACCACTGGGTGGTGCCACCCCTGGGCTGGTAGGCCTATGTTGTATAAGAAAGCACATTGAGGCCTGGCGTGGTGGGACATGCCTTTAATCCCAGCACTCAGGAGGCAGAGGCAGGCAGATCTCTGTGAGGTCAAGGCCAGCCTGGTCTACATAGTGAGTTCCAGGACAGCTGGGGCTACAGGGAGACCCTGTCTCAAAAAGATAAAAAAAGAAGAAGAAGAAAGCAGGTTGAGCATGGGCCAGGGGAGCAAGCCAGTAAGCAGCATTTCTCCATGGCCTGTGCTTCAGCTCCTGCCTCCAGGTTCCTGCCCAGAGTTCCTACCTTGGGCTCCCTGATGAACTATGACCCAGGAGATGTGAGCTAAATAAACCCTTTCCTCCCCAAGTTGGTATTGGTCAGAGTATTTTGTCACAGCAATGAAGAAACAAATTAGGACACCATCTGTACTCAATAGCTTTAGTTGTTAACCTGACACACCTGGGTGGAAGGAATCTCAATTGAGGAATTATCTCCATTGGATTGTCTTATGGCCATGTCTGTCAGGCATTTTCTTGGTGGCTAAGTGATGTCGGAGGGCCACCCCTGGGCAGTTGGTCCTCTGTTGTATTAAGAAAGCAGGCCAGGAGGGCATGGTGGCACACGCCTTTAATCCCAGCACTTGGGAGGCAGAGGCAGGTGGATCTCTGTGAGTTCGAGGCCAGCCTGGTCTAGATAATGAGTTCCAGGCCAGCTGGGGCTACAGGGAAACCCTGTCTCAAAAACACCAAAAAAATTTAAAAAATAAAAATAAAAATAAAAATAAAGGAGGCCAGTAAGCAGCGATCCTCCATAGTCTGTGCTTTAGTTCCTACCTCCAGGTTTCTGCATTTAGTTTCCTGCCCTGACTTCCCTCAATGATGAACTGTGACCTGGGAAATGCAAGAGAAAATAAACCCTTTCCTCCCCAGGTTTTGGTCAGTGTTTTTCTTGCAGCAATAAGAAACTAAGACACCATCCTTGATCTGGCATGTAGAAACTTTCTGATAGAAAGTTACATTTTCATCATCTGATTGTCCAAATCATCAAAAGGTTTTTCAGGGGACTGGCCAGATCACTCAGAGGTTAAGAACACTGACTGCTGGTGCAGAGGACATTCCCAGCACCTACATGACAGCTCATAGCCACAGGTCTGGGAGATCTGATGCCCTCTTCTGGCCTCTGCAGGCATTGCACATACAGGTGCACATATATTCATCACATAAAATTAAAATAAAATCTTTTTTAAAAATGGTTTTCATTCTCATTTTTCCATGAATTCATTACTAACATTTTCAAGAGGAAATCCAAGCCATTTTCATCCATATTTTTGACATGGGACACCAGCTTCCTGGTTTCCACTCAGGGAGCATAGCCTTATACTCCTGTAAAGACATCACTTCATTATTAGGAATGTGCAACCTCTGAAAAGCCTGAAGAGCTCACCAATTTCTGAGTCTCCATGGAAAATTCTAGTTCTGCAAATACAGTGCCTTACACCAACAGAAGCAGTGCAACCAGCAGATCCCAGCCATGCCCTTGGAGCTCGCACCCATCATGACCTCCCACATACGTACTCTAATGGGCATACGAAAAGAGCTGGCAAAGGCAAGGTGTGCCCACTTGTGCGACAGTAGCACTGCTGCCAGGGGGATCACCAGCTACCGATTGGATCTGAGACCTGCTCCACAGGAGGAGAACCACACCTGGTACCGTAAACCTGGTCAGAAAACTCATGGAGAGATCATAGGCCATGTGGGGAAATGAATACCGTTTAGCTAAATTGACAGTTTCAAGCTGCCTTCTAAATATTTAGGTTTATATCCGTAGACAACTCTCATCCTTAATCAGAGAAGACTCCTTCCAGTGAGCAGTGGTAAATGCAGACTTGTTGGGTGCATAAGGTGCTGGGAGTTCAGTCCTAAACAAGACATTTCTACCATACCCTCTAAGGCTCAGTGGACATTCCAGAAGAGGGGCGGACAGAGTAAGTGCCAGAGGAAGGGAAAAGGGCTGTAAGATGTCATCTTCTGGGCAAGACAGCCATTGCAATCATGAACTCACAGCAGCTTCAAGTACCTGAACTGGCTCTGTACAGGGCAGACCTGCCAAGTCAGGTGTGGGTAGGAGGGGCTCAGAAGGCCCCACCCTTCACTGCTGAACTATTTGCTGATAGAATGGGAAAGGGGGGAACCACTGCCTTCAGCTGTGTACCACTGGTGCTCCCCCCACCCCCACCCCGGCACCAGGCTTCAATGGATAGTTCATACAGGTGGCCCTGGTTAAACTAAATGAGTTACAAAACCAAAGATTATGAATCTGAGGGAGGGATTGACAGGAATGAGGACAGGGATGAGGACAAGGATGGTAGGGAGATTAAGAGAGGGTAGGAGAGGGAGAGAGTAATCAGAATACATTATATACACGTATGAAATGCTCAACACAATCAACTAAAAGATTTTTTTAAAAGCCCTGGCAAGGTCAAGGTCAGCCAATTTGATTGTTCTTCTCAACAATCAATAGATTCGAGAGGGTCCTAAGTCTCTATGAAGAACCCTTCCGGAATAACAAAGCTCAGTAGCCTGAAGGATTTGATATACCTTTTTGTCAGTGTGTTTGTGTACATGCACTTTGTGTGAACATTATGTAGAGGTCAGAGATCAACCTTAGCTGGAGCTCCTTAAGGAGCTCCTCTGGTTTCTGTTGTTTTTGAGACAGGATGTCTCACTGGCCAAGCAGGATTATAATTACTTAACACCACAACTAGCATTTCTTTCTTAAAAGATTTTTACTATTTTCAGTTATGTGTGTGTGGGCATAGAGTGCAGGTACCTGCAAAGGTCAGAGGGGCCAGAGCCTCCTGGAGCTGGAGCTACAGGTATAGTGAGCGGCCTGATGTGGGTGCTGGGAATCAAACTCAGGTCCTCAAGAACATTAAGAGCTCTTAACTGCTGAGTCATTTCCCCAGCATGTTGCCTGGCCTTTCTTTTTAAATGGGTTTTGGAGATTGAACTCAGGTCCTAATGCTTACAAGGCAAGCACTTTATCAACTGATCTATCACCAGTCCCTGTACAAATAACTTTTTGTTTTTAAATATTTTTAATATATATATATATATTTTGGTCTTTTTGAGACAGGGTCTCCCTGTAGCCCCGGCTGTCCTGGAACTATGTAGACCAGGCTGGCCTTGAACTCATAGAGAGCTGCCTGCCTCTGCCTCCCAAGTGCTGGGACTACAGGCGTGCGCCACCACACCCGGCTGATATTTTTAAATTGTGTGTGAGTGTATTGCCTGCACCTAAGTGTACCCATGCTGTGCAGTGCCTGCGGAAGTAAGAAGAGGGCATTAGATCCCCGGAACTGGAGTTATGGATGGTTGTTAGCAGCCATATAGGCACTGGGAACTGAACCTGGGTCCTCTGCAAGAGCAGCCATTGCTCTTAACTGCTGAGCCATCTCTCCAGCCCCATTCATAGTATTTGTTATATGTCATATGTCAAAAGACAAACAGCATCTGCAAGGCTGTTTCCAACCCCTAACAGAGCAAAAGTAAAGAAGAGGCCGGACGCTATGGTGCCAGCTTTTAACCCCAGTCCCAGCACTCAGGGAGGGGGCAGGGGGCAGAAGGCAGAGGCAGTTAGACCTGTCTGAGAGCGAAGCCAGCCCAGTCTACACAGCAAGTTCCAGGTCAACTGGGGCTAAAGGGAGTCTGTCTCAAAAGAGAAAAGAACATAGGAAGGAGAAGCATACTCATATCACAGAGGTAGCTGGGACTTCATTGGTGGTGGTACAATTCCAGCCCTTCGCGGATACTGAAATGTTACCAACTTCATGACATAGGACCTTTAACTTGAGATACAACTTGAATACATACATGAATGTAACTGGGTGCAGCTAATTTCTGGAGCCACATACAAAATGCCCTGGTGGCTGCCTTCAGAGGCACTGGGGAGCCCATGTATCCCCTTTATACTATCTTTCTATTACATTTCCAACTGGGGCATTCTCTACCTGCCTTCCTCAACAGAGGCTACAACAGAGAATGGGCTCGGCATTAACTGGGCAATTATTAAAAAATACTCTCATTGCCAGGCCTGATGGCATTCACCTGTAATCTCAGCAGTTGGAAGACAGAAGTGGGTGATTCTACCAGTGCAAAGCCAGACTGGTCTACCCAATGAGCTCTAGGCCAATCAGAGCTACACAGAGAGACCTTATCACAAAGAACCCCCTCCAAAACCTGTTAGCCAGGGCTAGCCCCAAAGACTGACTTAATAATCGGACATAGACTTACTTTGAAAGTCTTAAGAACTTCCCAGATGATTCTATTCTGCACCCAGTGGTGAGGATCACCAGTACAGATCAGTTTTTGGTGCAGCCAGTGTGCCCAAGAATAGCTGTATGTTTGTAGCTCAATACACAACTGTAAACTTACTTGAAATATCGATTTCTTTTGTGATTCAAATTTTTTGTGTGGTTCTTGTACACGAACTTTGTAAATGACAACCTTGTGTCACAATGCCTGAAAGGTTCAAGGACTGAAGATTAAGAATCAAGACATCTGAGACCATGGGCCATGTCACCAGCAGGAAGCACAGGAGGAACCTGAGGTCCAAAGGAAGGACACAGAAGTGCCATGCCACTCCTATGAAAAGAAGTCTCAGCTTCCACTGACCTCATGGCCTTGGCTGACCTAAAGTGGGTTCTGTCTGTAAGAGTCTGTCCTGTCCTGGCCACCTTTCTTGCACTTGTTTTGTTTTAAAGGAATAAATGTTAAAGCAACACTACCTTTGACAAATTTATTAACAAAACCAAGGTCATGCAATCTAGTATCATGTATCGCATGAAAGCCCATGCTGTTCTGGTTACATTTATTAACTATCTTTTCAGTCTCTTATTTTGTCAATATTTTGTTAAATATTGTTGAAAATATGTAAATCAAAGAGTCAGTTTTGCAAGCAAATTCTTTAGGGATTCTATGATTAATTTTCCCTGTATGGCAGAGAATGACGGAATGAAGCACATTTCTGCAAACACACAGAACTAACCAAAAGGAAAACAGCACTTCCCAAAAGAACTCCGGCGTGAAGAATACCCACATAACTTCTGGAACTTAGAGAAGGTGTTGGCATTTTGACAAGACCAAATGGTTCACACTAAGAAAACCTTTTGGGTTGAGGATGTGGTTTAGTGGTAGAGTGTCTAGGGCTCTAAGTTCAATCCCTAGCACCTGAAAAATAACAAAGAAATTTTTTTCTTCTTGTTGTCCACTCCACCCCCCTCTCTCTCAGAATGAGCTCAGACTTACTGAGGATGTCCTAATCTTCAAAGCATAACGTAATTAGTATGGTAAAAATAAGATCAGCTTAAGGATCTACTGCATACATTTTTAGTTAATAACCTGAGGTTAATACTGAAGTCTTTAAAAGTGTCTGAAGAGTTGTCATTGTACATTTTTATTACAAGGTATTTTAAATCGTAGGCAGTTACAATTAGACAGAAAATCAGTTGCATACCAAAAATACACTTCCAATTACTTTTACCAAGCAAATAAGAACAAACTTCATTTATTTGAGCTTTTCCAGATGATAATACACATTTAAAAACTCAATACCATATAAGACAGATGTGTAATTAAGCATACACACAAAATGAGTACGCACTGAGTTTTCAGAAACAAAAGTAAAAATAAATAGTAATGATAAAGCTTTGGAAAAAATAACATACATTTCAGCTGTGGAAAATATTCTGAATTATATACACTTAATAAAAAGCCACCTCTTTTCAAGATTGCACAGAACATGAGACCCATAAAGCATATTTTATGGCATGTAATACTCTAATCCCAGGCCAGTTTGTTGCTTAACTCTAGGATATAAAACACTTATAATATGATAAAAGATATGCAGTATTGTTTGAGAAAGACTGTCTTCCCCAACTCACATTAACCTGCAGTAATCCTACAAAAATCTGTACAGGAAATTTCACAAAAAGAAATATCAAATAATTATTGTGCCCACTTCATGCTGAATGAACAGTCAAAAATGGGCTTCAAAGTAAACATGGTTGTCATTTGATATTTTTAATACTTTACAGTGAAGATCTTCTCTCTCCCCAGGAAACACTTTGTGCTTGACAACTGGCAATCTCAGCACAAGACGCCAGGCAAAATGAAGCTGGGTTTTGCTTAGCTTACTCTCATAAAGTTATTCCAGGAGACAGGAGTTTACAGAAAGCACTAATGTTCAATTCCCCTAACCAGACTCTTGTTGGAGTATTATGTTACTTCCAAACCTTCCTTCAGCTCAGCGAAAAGGACATCAAGGTAGCAACATTTATTTCCATTTACATTATGGCACAGCCCTCAATTTTGAGAAAAATACATTTTAGGGAACCAGAAAATTGCACAAACCGTAGGAACAACCTGAAAAGCTCTTGGTGAGAAACACCAAAGTCTCTAGGGCAATAAAAAAATATGTATGGACTTAATACAAATATTTACATTCAAGAGAATCCTAAGTTAGCTGCTAAGCTGCTCAATACCAACAATTCACAGGTTATTTCAAAAGTTTTGTGTTCACAGTAACTGTGACACTTGAATGCATAGAATACAGGGAAGGTATGGTTTTCAGTCTGTCACCTGTCACACCTATCAAACCAAACTTTACATTCTGAAAGCTGTACAACCAGAACAGAGCACACACTCCTTCCTTCACATGAAACATATAGTTAAGTACTACTGATTTCACTCATTTGTTCCACAACTTGTCCTAAAATCTCATCCACTACGTCAACATCATAATTGACTTGCTGAAGATCCAGATCAGGCACAATCATAGCAAGCAGCTGTCCTACATTAACTCGAAGAGACCGAAGCTTGAGGCTGCAAAGACAAGTATTGGAACTGATTAGCAGTGTGTTACAATACACATGACTTCTGCAGAACTTAAAAGTGGAAATGGCTGCAGAGATGGCTCAGCAGTTAAGAGCACTGGCCACTCTTGCAGAGGATTCCAGTTTGATTCCCAGGACGCACACAGCAGCTCACAATGGTCTGTAACTCCAGTTCCAGGGGATGCAACACCCTCTTCTGGCTTCCATGGACAATGCATGCATGTGGTGCACTTAACAAAGCACTCATATACGTAAAATAAAAATAAATCAAAAAAAAATTTTAAGTGAAAATATGAAAATCTCTGTGCAGTTATAGAGTTAAATGAAAAGCAAAGCCTCCCTTGGGAGATGTATCATTAGATGCCAGACTGAATCCAAGTAGAATGTTTCATAAAACTAGTAGCTCAGTTTAGTTTCTACTTGTACTTTTAATTTGCAGACTTGAAAAAACCTTGACTAGCAAAATATACAAATTAGAAGACACCACTTCCAATTTGTGCTCACCTAGAGAAAGAGCAATAGGCTAGTGAAAACACTTATCTAAAAGAAAAATCCATCCTTCTGAATACCATCTTTCCTCTGCGGAAAGTAACATGAATTGCTCCTTGGTCTGTGTATAAAAGGAAAAACATTCTGTGGTCCAAAGCTTGCTTGCAAAACTTTGGGTTACATAATGTTAAGCAAGCTTTGTTAAACTGCAAAAAAATAAATAAAAATCTACTTGTCCTCCTTACCTTTGTCAACTTGACAGCCTAGTCTGAGAAAAGGAACCTCAGGCAAGGAACTTCCTAAATCAGGTTGGTCCAGTATACATGTCTGTCTGGAATTGCCTTGATTAGTAATAGATGTGGGAGGGCCCAGCTCACTGTGGGCAGCACCATTCCTCAGGTAGGTGGTCCTAGCTAGTTAAGCATAAGGTGGCCATTCAGCTTTCAGAATTCCTCCAAGGTTCCTGCCCTGACCTCCCTCAATGATGGATTGTAACCTGGAAGTGTAAGCCACATAAACTTTCTTCCCCAAGTTGCTTTTAGTCAGAAGTGTTTTATGAAAGCAACAGAAATCAAACTAGGACACCACTATTACATGCTCAAGGTCATGCATTAAAGAGAACACTGTTTGGCTGAAGATATTGGGAAACTCTGTATTATGGAAATATGAATCCATCCAAGTTTATGAATGTCAACATTCCATCCTCAGAAATTCCAGAGTTAGGAATATAAGCTCTCAGTAAGAGGGCCTGCCTAGCATGTATGAAGCCCTGGGTTACACATCTGTGCACCCCTATCAAAATGCTCATCTTTGGTTGGCAAAGCAGAAAAATGTGCTTGGGCACCCCTCTACCCTCAACACATCTTTTTGGTGTTTTGAGATAGGGTCTCTCTGTAGCCCAAGCTGGCTCCACACTCACAGGAATTCTCTGGTTTGTTAGTATTACAAGTGTGAGACACTATACCGATAAGGCCTATTTGTTTTGTGTATTTTATTTTTTGGTCTTTTTGAGACAGGCTGTCCTGGAACTCACTATGTAGACCAGGCTGGCCTTGAACTCACAGAGATCCACCTGCCTCTGCCTCCTGAGTGCTGGGACTAAAGGTGTGCGCCACCACGCCCGGCGTTTTGTATATTTTATAAGATTCCACTGGACCTGTGGTAAACTCTTTCTCATTTCCAGGTCAGCCATTTTTCCCATGACCTGCTTTTTCCTTTTCAATGAGGAACCCAAAACCAAATTACATCTTTGTAGTCTAGAAGTTACAATGACCCTGTTTCTATGAGGGATACACCCTTTAATATAATCAAGGCCTTAACTTATATGAAAAGCAGACAAGTAATTAGTACAGTCCTCTAACCCACTACCCCCGACCCAGTCTTGATGGTCTCTGGCTACTTCCTGCTGTTACAGAACATAACAAATAGATGCATTTTTACCCCTTTGAGACAGCATAGCCCAGGCTGGCCCTGAAATCATGATCCTCCTTCCTCCCTCTCCAAAGTGCTAGTATTCCAGGTATTATCATTATACCTGGTTTTGGACTCCTATTTTCAAATGCCTATTGGCACTCTCCAAGAAAAATAATGCTAGTTTTACATTCTATTTTAAATATTTCAATAGCCATATTGAAAAAGGAAGGAAGAAGAGGTGGCACACGCCCTCAAATCCAGGATCTGAGAAGCTGAGGGAAGAGTACCAGGGGTTTGAGGCAAGCCTGGGATAATAGTGAGACACTGCCTAAAAGAAAAGTCCGGAAACTGAATTCATTCATCTTTACATATAATCAAAATAAACTGGTTTTTTTTGTTTGTTTGTTTTTGGTCTTTTTTTAAGACAGTGTCTCCCTGTAGCCCCAGCTGTCCTAGAACTCACTATGTAGACCACGCTGGCCTTGAACTCACAGACATCCGCCTGCCTCTGCCTCCCCAGTGCTGGGATTAAAGGCGTGCACCACCATGCCAAGCTAATAAACTGTTTTTAATGAAGCATTTTAGGTATTTTTTTCAAATTTTTACTTTATGTATTTGACTATCTTGTCTGTATGCAAGCATGCATGTGTCATGTACATGCCTGGTGCTCAGAGACCAGAAGCTGGCCATCAGATGTTCTGGAACTGGAGTTACAGTTGTGAACCACAAGTGAGTCCTAGGAACTGAACCCTGGTCCTCTATAAAATCACCAAGTGCTCTTAACTTCTGACCTATCTCTCCAGTCCCGTATTTTTTTCTTCTTCCACCAATGCATGCCAGTGCACATTTTCCACCTAAAGCAAACGTGCATTCAGACTAGCCACATGTCAAGTGTCACTGCCCACATGCAGAATGGAATCACACTGGGAAAGCACTGAGCCAAAAAAAATTCCTTGCTGGTTATGGGGTTCATAGCTGTAATTCTTGCACTAGGGAGGTGGAGACAAAGGAACACCATCACTTCAAGGACAGCTGAGCTACAGAATATGAGGCTAGCTCAAAACACCACAAAGAGGGGCTGGAGAGATGGCCTGGGGGTTAAGAACGCTGGTTCTTGCAGAAGACCCGGGTTTGAATCCCAGCACCCACATGGAGCTAAGAACTGTCCGTAACTCCAGTTCCAGGGGACCCGACAGCCTCTTCTGTCCTCTGCTTGACATGGGTGTGTTTGCCTACATGCAGAGAACACACATATAAACATAAAATAAAAATAATAAAATATTAAAAAAAAAAACAACAACAACAACAGGGGCTGGAGAGATGGCCTGGGGGTTAAGAACGCTGGTTCTTGCAGAAGACCCGGGTTTGAATCCCAGCACCCACATGGCAGCTAAGAACTGCCCGTAACTCCAGTTCCAGGGGATCCGACAGCCTCTTCTGTCCTCCATGGGCACTGCATGACATGGGTGCACTTACCTATATGCAAGCATAACACTCAGACACATAAAAGTCAAAAAATATTTAAAAAAGAAAAACCACAAAGAAAAAAAGGAGGGAAAAAAAATGCTGCACAAAATTTAGTGTGTGAGAGAACCCTCTGGGAATTTAGAACAGGTTTAATCCAACCAATGGCAGCAGGCCTTCTTCTGTTTTTGTTTTTGACACAGGATCTCGTATGTAGCCCTAGCTGACCTGCAACTTACTAAGTAGAGCAAGCCAGCCTCTCACAGAGATCTGCCTGCCTCTGCTTCGGCCACCCAAGTGCTGGGATTAGTATTATAGGCATGAGCCACCACAGCCAGCTGTAGGGCCCATTTTTAAGAGCAGTCTAATAGACGCTTATCTCACTTTTCAGAAACACTGGTCAAGACTTCTTTTGACCCTTGGTCAAAGAATATATGTACTATTTACTTAGTCTTGTCTATGTCCATAAACATGCTTAATGAAATAGTTTGAAAACTTAAGCTAAAAGATTAGGGGGTTCAGGCCAGCCTCAGCTATGTAGTCAAGACCCTCTTCTCAAACAACAAAAGCCCCATCACCACCATTATCAATAAAAAGCCTCCAAACTAAACAGAACCCCAAGCCTAAAGAGATAAAACAGGGAGTGCTAAAAATATGTCCCAGGGCCATTTTTAATGAGGCATGTCATAGTCATGGCCAAATTCACCCCATCTTGAAAGATGTAGCTCAGTTTTCTTTACTTTTTTTTGTCTTTTTGAGACAGGGTCTCCCTATCCCTAAATTTGCTATGTAGGCCAGGCCGGCCTAGATCTCACCTGTCTACTTCCCAGGTGTGGTGGCTTACAGCACCACACCCAGCCAGTTTTCGTTTTTTTGAAATCATCCACGCCATTTCTGCCCCTCTACAGTCCTGTTTGACTAAATAGGCCTAAGGTGACAGCAACCTGAACAAGTGCTGAGTACAGACCAGAGCGGGGTTCTGGGCCCACAGAGACACTCACTACTTGCTGACAGAACTGCACCACTGCAGGTATGCTAAGAGATGACCAATGTGCTACCCACACATGCAGCGCAGCAAAAGCCTCAGTCAGCATTACCTTTCCCCATCCAGGTAATTCACAGACTCCTCAATATTACTTGAAGTAGAAACATCTGCTCCTATCTGCTGACTTGTAGATTTCAACTGTTCAATTTCAGTTTTGAGCTCTTCACACTGAGAATGAAGGTGTGATTTTTCCACTTCCAATAACTGAACCTGACAAAAATATAAATAAATATTTTAAGTGTAGAATTTAAAAAATGAATTTAAGCTAAGAAATGTAGAGAATCACCTTGATATAAGTACTAGGTATCAAAATATACACACAATATCCCAATAATATTCTTTTTTTTCCTCTCAGTGCTGGAGACTGAATCCAGGACCTTGCCTTTGCTAGGAAAAGTATTACTGAGCTAGTCTCAGCCTCCAACAGCTTCCCACTAACAAAGCGTCCTTTATTTAGGTTCATTTCTATATCTTTTTACACTGAGAGAAAAGAAACGTTAATTACCCCTCCACCCCCGACAAAATTTAAGTGGTACCTAGAAAGTGAAATAGACGTTAATGACTAAATTATACTGAAGTCACAGCAACTCTCATTTCATGCACTTAATATTATGTTACGACACCGGGCTTGTAATGGTTGTTTCATATTTTGTCATGTAGCTCTCAAGATAACCTATCAAGAGTGTGACTATGCAGTTAAAGGCAGCATTGTCTCCAGCAGAGGGCAGAGCAACACTACACTGTGCTTTCCAATTCTTCTTAACAGGGAAATCCCTTGAAATGCCACAGAAAAATAATACACCCTAGAATAAATTGTAAAAGAATGTCACGATGCCGGGCGTGGTGGCACACGCCTTTAATCCCAGCACTCATGAGGCAGACACAGGCAGATCTCTGTGAGTTCAAGGCCAGCCTGGTCTACATAGTGAGTTCCAGGGCAGCTGGGGCTACAGGGAGACCCCTGTCTCAAAAAAACCAAAAATAATAATAATAATAATAATAATAATAATAATAATAATAATGTCATGAAGCTGAAGCAGGACACATGCACTGGCTACTACTCAGCTCTTGACAGTCCATGTTTTCTCCATCTGAATTAAAAGACCCCTCTGACAGCGACTACATTTCCTAGGCATCTGTTAAACCAAATAGCATCAACTGCTGTTTGCTATAGCTTGCAGCATAGGTGCAAGGCAGATCATCACTGTACACTGGGAAACAAAGCAACAACACAGAAGGTGCCTGTATCACTGCGAACTATGGAGGTGCCACTGTTGTGGGCTTTCCTCTATGTAAGGAATACAGCACTGACTGCCTCATGTGCTTGTTGGAGGTATATTAGTATTACACGCCAAGTTCTGACTGTAGAAGAGCCATCTTACTGGGAATATTTTTCACTGTATATTAGTACCTTGTTCACTACAAGACATTTATCATAAGAAGCTATTTCCTGCTATTTTCTAGTAATCTCTGTTTTTGTGTGTGTGTGTGTGTGAGAGAGAGAGAGAGAGAGAGAGAGAGAGAGAGAGAGAATCATGTAGCCTGGGCAGAGAGAGAGAGAGAGAGAGAGAGAGAGAGAGAGAGAGAGAGAGGGAGAGAGAGAGAATTATGTAGTCTGGG